CCTCTTGCAAAACCCATCGAGCCCGCTCTATATATTTGTAGCATGATTGAATACTAGTATCACAACTGCAATTTTGATACATAGTCTATAACTGCAACTTTTGCTATTATAGATACATAGTCCAGCTGCAACTTTACATTTGCTCCAAGAACAGGTGAGAGGCAGATGAGGAGAGGCAATTGGGCAGCTATAGTAAATTAGAGGGAGTGTACGTGTACTTGATTTGTGGGACAATATTAGTAGGGGCGGCTCATAAAGGTTTGTAGGGGCAGTTTGGCCAGACGCCCTCTACCACACCGTGTCTACGAAACACGGATTTGTAAGGGCGGTTGGCTATCCTGCCCTACAAATGGCATTTATAGGGACGTTTATAGATTTGTAGGGGCGGCTCTATATCCAGTCAGCCCTACAAATTATTTTTTTAGAAATCACGATTTCAGACAAAAAAATAGGATTTTTTTTTAATCCGGAGAGGCACCAATCGGTCATGCTTCTCGGCTGCAGGGATTCGAACCTGCGACCTCCCTCTTGTGCGTTTCCTACTCTACCACTACACCTCACACTCGTGTCTATATTGGATTTTTGTTCCCCACATATAATCCTAAACCGAGTTTAAATTTATTGTTTGAGGCCTTAAACGAATTCAAATGAAAAAGTTGTTAACTACAGAGTTTTATAATTTTTCGAGATCTACAACTTTTATTTTGGTAGTTTCTCCATGCGAGCTCGTTTATAAAATCTGAATTTCAAATTTGAGAAATTCAAAAGTATTTTTTCTTAAAAGGATGATTTTAAATAAAAATATTTTCAACTACAAAGTTTCATAACTTTTTGAGATCTACAACTTTCAAATTTTGTAGTGTCTGAATTTGAGGTTGTTTGAAAAATTCAAAGTTCAAATTTGAAACATTCAAATATAGTTTTTCTTGACAAGATGATTTTAAATCAAAAAATTGTCAACTATAAAGTTATACAACTTTTTGGGATCTACAACTTTTATTTTAGTTGTTTGCCTATCCGAGGTCATTTAAAAAATTCAATTTTCAAATTTAAGAAATTCAAACGTAGTTTTCCTTGACAAAATAAATTCAAATGAAAAAGTTGTCAACTACAAAGTTCTATAATGTTTTGAGATCTACAACTTTATTTTGATCATTTGTTCATCCGACATAGTGGTAGTAACATTGTTCACAAATCTTACATATCCCTCTTAGAATTTACGAAAATAAATGAGATATATGTAAGATTTGTGAATTATGTTACTACCACTATGTCGGATGAACAAATAAGCAAAATAAAAGTTGTAGATCTTAATGAGTTCTACAACTTTTATGTTCATGACTTTTTGAGCTGAAATCATTTAATATTTCAAAATGATGTTTGAAATTGCCATTTTTTGAAATTCAAAATTCAAATAGATAAAACATAGTCGCATGAAAAGACAGACAAAATAATAGCTGCAAGAACACAATAAATTGATAGAGCATGATTTTAGAAAATTTTACGAAAAAAATCATCTAATTTGAAGTTATTATGAGGGAGAAAGACTAGTTACAAGTTTTAGTGAGAGATTAAAAAGAGAATCAGAGTTCTTCAATAATTTTAAAATTGAATTTCAAACGATATTTTGAAGGAGTAAAAGACTTCAAATGAAAAAGTTGTAAACAGCCGAGAACTACAACTTTTATTTTAGTCATTTCTCCATCTGAGGTCGTTTGAAAAAATTCAACTTTTAGTGCTTAATTTTTAATATTCGACGTCTATTTATAGGAGCAGCTCAATATTGAGTCGTCCCTACAAATCTGATTCGTAGGGGGGCTGGATATAGAGCCACCCCCTACAAATAGAACCTTTTGTAGGGGCGGCTGATAACAACTGCCCCTACAAATGAATTTGTAGAGACGGCTCGTTTGAGAAGCATTTGTAGGGGTTTCTGTAGTAATGATAGACATGTATATAATTAGGTGCATATATTGTGAATATTTAGGGATGCTTCATAGGTAAAGCGCCCCTAGAAATATTTGCATTTTGATAGGCGGTGAGCTCAAAATAATTATACCTAAAAATATTCTTTTTTGGGCTGGTTTCTTATGTCAACTGTCATTGAAAATAGGCCATTTATATGTGTAGTTGACTTAGTATTTAACATGCAAACACTGTAGTTAACATGAAATGGATAAGCTGGTTCAGTCTTAATGAAAGAAACTACTACATACTTTCAACTGTTCTACTGCAATTCTGTGAAATTCCTGTCCAGGTGCAGTCCGGCATGTGTCTGCCTGCCATATCTTTTTTCTTTTGTTTCTTATTTCATTCATCCTTCTGTTCCCCATAACTAGTCTATTCTGTGTATATTGTTTGGCACTATATCGAGTTGTTTCATGAAATGGATATATTGGCAGTTGATCATCGTGCCCCTAGTAGTGAAGAAATGGAATCTTTAATTCATTATATGCATTTGCTTAGCGTATTAAGTTATGTTGTGTATTGTTATGTCTAGCTCAAAATCTTCTCTCTGTTTTTTCATTTTTTGATTAATTAAAATCCAATATTGAATCTATCCGCACATACATGCATTAAATACGAACATTCTAGCAAACTCTGTGTACCTGAAGACTTCACATCTACCAGTCTAATCTTCGGATTGAGTGTTATTAGTGTGTTTTTTTTGTTTTAAGATCTTTTGTAAGGGTGTGTGTATCCTTGTTATACAGAGGCCAGAAGTGTTTCAAGGTCTTTGTATCACCTCAATGTAACGATCTTGAAATTAATAAAGCTTTCCTTATCGAGAAAAAAATGACTGGAAGCTAGGCATCCCTCCAGGATACATTGATGCAATCTAGCATATGGTATCATGCTGCCGTTGAGCCTGATGATGCTGAACCAGAATGCTGGCGGGGATGTTTATCTCACCATCCAAGTCATCGGGCTCCCTTTCCCAAAAGATAACGGTCTTCTTCGCAACTAAATTGTACATCCATGTCTGCGATGCAAGCTTGCTTTCCGTTGATGTATTCGGGAATCACAAACTACTATATATAAGAGTTATTCATGTTGCGCCAGCCACTGGAGAACTCGTTTTTTAATGAGTTTAAAGCTGTATTAATGGGAGGGAGATTCATGTTGTTGCTATGCATTCACTCTTGGAAACAGTTGCATCCAGCACTACGTACTCATATGCTGATTTTTATTTTTTATTTCTCCATACACAAGATTCAATTGCAACTCAAATTTTTTCATCATGGCATTCTGTGTCCATCTTTATTTTTAATGAACTTTTTGTTAGAAATTTAAGCATTTTCATGTTTAATTTAATCTAGAAAAACAATAGTAGATTGGTGACCATATATATGTGCAAGTGTCAACTACAATTATTCGCAATAGTAGCAACTATGACGAACATACTGATCAAAGTTATAATACGGATTATGACAAATTCAGTAAGAGTTGTATATCCATGCGCACTAGTCGACATAGTGCGCTACTCTAAGTCGCGGAAAACAGTCGATGCAGGTTGACGTTCATAGTGAAGTCCGGTGAACGACCACTAGGAAGTAGACGATGCATAGGCTTCAAAACATGTACAAGAACACCGGGAAGAAGATGATTCTGCATTCGTGTTGTGTGCTCTTGAAAAACCTGATCGCCAGCGCACCCGAGCAGGTGTCACAAAGCAAACGACAAATCCGAATGGTTGCTATACCATCTCCTGTGCACGCAGAAGGCAGATGAGGAGAGGCGATTCACTGCTACGTAAAACTTAATGGAGGCGGGTGTTTTTTATTAATGGAGGCGGGCGTTTTTAATAATGATACAAGTGGTAATTTATATGCAAATTTAAAGGATTATATATATTAGCTATCATCATAGCAGGAGAGCCGAAAAATGGATAGGTGTAAAGGCGTAGCCAGGTGCTGGCTAATTAGATGTAAACTGGCCTATCAACCCATGACTTCGCATGGGTTAGAAACTTATATAATTTTTAGTCAATGCAAATATTTTATATGGTTATATACTATTATTTGCAATGTATCCATATATTTATACTTCACAAGTCTCGAAACCTATACCGTAACCTCAACTGAAGCTTCTGGTAAAGGTGCTAGCTCTTTCACCTCGCTTCGTTATTTCTGGACAAAGAACATCGCGCTTGACTTTTATTTGTGCCATGGCTATGCGAAGCCCACATGAGGCTTGGTTAAAAACCCCAAAGAAATCCACTGATATATTGAACATTCTGCTAATTATGTCTGTTATGCATTCTGTTGAGTTATTTGCCGAGCAGAATCCACAATATATAGGCGTCGGTTATGAATGTTGTGCTAGTGGCAGTGGACCTCATTTTTAATCAATATAGAAGTTTGTTGCTATATGCAAACAACTTTCAGTCCCCGAATCTGGCATAGAAGTTTGTTGCTATATGCAAACAACCTCCACTCCCCGAATCTGGCCATTTCAAGAGAGGATGTTGGGATGCAGGGATGAATTGAGGTCATAATTTTTTTCCTATTTTTGGTTGTGTATTATCTTCTTTGTTGAGGTGTGAGTCTAATTGCTCTTGTATTATTTTGGCTGTGTATATCTTCGTGGATATAGAGGCCGGATTAATTAATCCATTATCTAAAAAATACGAATTACACTGTGAATGGACCAACATGGCAACATAGCCCCTCCTCGTATGTGCTGCTACTGATGGAGTTTGATTCATTTTATTCTTTGTACCTTGTACCGTCTTTTGTGGCATTGTGAATGTTCAGTTATTTACCAACGGCAAATAAAATCTGAATAACTCTTTCTTTTTCAAATTTAAAATCTGAATAGTTTATTGGTAATTTTAGTTTTCACTTTTCAGGGAACTAAAAGAAATACAAAGTTGGTTGCTTTTCCTTTCCATTCACAGAAGGGAAACAGCTGTACAGAAGTAGCTAGCTTCACCATCCCCTTCAATGATCTATTGTTGTGGTGTGGTTAGGTACCGTACGAAGCACAAGAAAGTTGACATGAAGGCAATGAGGCGATGGGCCAAACAGATACTGACAGGGCTAGCCTATCTGCACAGCCAGAAGCCACCAATCATACACAGGGACTTGAAGTGTGACAACATTTTCATCAATGGGAACCATGGGAAGGTTAAGATTGGGGACTTCGGTTTGGCAATGGTCATGCAAGAGAGGAAAACACAGAGTATACAAGGTACGGTTTTCTACAGGCCACACTACCACATATTTATGAAAACAAACGTGATATGTGGTGAGCTTGATATGGTTATCGGTAACATTTAACCTGAAACACAGGCACCTTAGAATTCATGGCACCAGAGCTCTTTGGTGAAAACTACAATGAGTTGGTGGATATATACTCTTTCGGCATGTGTATGCTTGAGATGGTGACTGGTGAGTGCCCTTACAGTGAATGTCAGGGCTTTGTTCAGATATACAAGAAGATTTCTGAAGTGACCTATTACTTAGATAGTACTTGTCTACTTCAAGAGTTCGCTAGGAAGTACCCAGATAGTTCCTTTTTGTTGTATATGAATGGTGCTATAATGGTATAATTGCAGGGTATAAAACCAGTTGCTCTCTCCAAGGTCAAAGATGCTGAAGTAAGAAGTTTCATAGAGAGCTGCCTAGCTTCAGCAGCTGATAGATTGCCATCAAGTGAGCTCTTGAAGAGCCCTTTTCTCATGAAAGATGACATCATCATCAATTAAAATAAAACCTCTAATCCTGTGCAAGAACCAATAGCATTCCCGCCAAATTTGGATCTGGATCTTGAAGCCACACCCATTTTTGTATCTTTGCTACCAAATGGAACTGTTGATAACGGGAAGGGGTCTTTCAGCCTAGTGCTTCGAAGGGGTGGATTTGTGTTGGAAGGAGATATGAGTGGTAGCAACCCTGTCAAGTTATTACTAAGGATTCCGGTCCCCAATGGTAATTACAAGCATCAAAATATCATCTTTGGATTCACATATCTCCATTTGTACCATGCACTGACGCTGCATTTTTATTCTTTTGGCCTTGTACAGGTAAATGTAAGAACGTCGAGTTCGCATTTGACCTGGAGAATGATACAAGTCTTTCGGTGGCTACAGAGATGGTGCATGAGCTTGAACTACCTTCTTGGAGCATGCCTGTTGTGGCGAAGCTGGTAGATGCGTTCTTGCTCAAAACTGTTCGTGGTTGGAGGCCGTGTGTTCAGGTCGGTCAGATGATCCAGGCAGTGCAAAACACTGCATCCGCGAATGCAAAATGCATCTGAACCAATGTTTGTAGCTGATGCATTGTTCTGCCCCTTATGTAAATATGTCATGCTCGAATGCAACGCCAGGCGTTGCTGACTAAGCACATCTTCTTTTATCTGATGGCGGCGAAAGTTTGGGCATGATTACTAATTAGAATAGTGACATAATTCGTATTATTGTTGGTTCTTATTGATAGAAAGAGGCTTGAGGATAAGAGAATTTAAGAATCCTGTAACATGTAAAAGTAATCTGCTGTCCTCCATGTAGCCGCTGCAGGGACAGGCGTTGAAAGACTCTCCTGCCGCACTGTAGCCACAGCAGGGGCAGACGTCAAAGTTAACCCTGCTGTCACATGCATCTAGTCACTGTAACAGCATGGCAGCCTGACATGTCTGTGCATTAAGATTAGACGGGTAGAGTTGTATATATAGCTTCCCACTGCAACTCAGTAAAGAGAGCGAGTTCAGTTTTATCATCTTCTCTGCAGAGCTTCGGCCAACGTTGGTGCTTATGCTGTGCGTGTGCGCTCTGTTGTCCCTCCCTTCTTCTATCTCTAGCCATAGTGTGTGATCGGCAACGTCGGAGAGTGGTCGGCTCACCCGTTCCGAACATCCAGGGGCAACATAACAGCGATCCTTGGTTTGCTCAGTTTTTTAAATGCCTTATTATGACTCGGTTGTGATGTGTTGTAGAGCCCGTAACGAGTCATTTTAATAGTTTATCAAGTATCATTATATCTTCTAAAAAAAATCAAGTATCATTATAAACCAGGTACATTGACGCTTGCAATTTATTTTTGAATTATATTATACTTTATTGATAAATTTATAAGTTATTACTTTAGATAAGTTTATACCTTTTGATGTAAGATTCCTAGTATATGACAAATCAATACCAAATAATTTATTTTTTAGCTCTATGTTTTTATAAAATAAAACTCCTGTACTTTCATAATTAATTCTTCAATAAATATAGTGAATAAATTCAAAATCTTTAGTGTTGGTGCAAACTAAAATTATCATTTAGGTGAAAATGGGCCTCCCCCTATCTGATAGGAATTTAAAGGCCCATAGATCTCTTGCTCCTGGGCTAAGCTCCTGGGCTTCCTCTTTTAAAAAAAAATAAAAAATCTTTGCCGAGTGTCTAGAGGGGTGGCACTCGGCAAAGAAAATTTTCAAAAAAAAAAATAAAAGCTCTTTGCCGAGTGTCTTCCGGGTTGGCGCTCGGCAAAGAATTTTAAAAAAAAAATAAAAAATCTTTGCCGAGTGCCTGGAGGGTTGGCACTCGGCAAAGAAAATTTAAAAAAAAAATAAAAGCTCTTTGCCGAGTGCCTGCCGGGTTGGCGCTCGGCAAAGAATTTTTTTTTTAAAAAAAATAAAAAAATCTTTGCCGAGTGCCTGGAGGGTTGGCACTCGGCAAAGAAAATTTAAAAAAAAAATAAAAGCCCTTTGCCGAGTGCCTCACGGGTTGGCACTCGGCAAAGAAATTTTAAAAAAAAATTAAAAAAATCTTTGCCGAGTGCCTGCACGGTTGACACTCGGCAAAGTGACCGTCAACGGGACCGGCGCCGTGACGGTCGCTTTTCTTTGCCGAGTGTCCGATAAAATACACTCGGCAAAGAGTGCTTTGCCGATCAATTTTTTTGCTGTGTGTGCTTTGCCGAGTGCCGCACTCGGCAAAGCCTTTGCCGAGTGCAATATAGCCTCAGGCACTCGGCAAAGAACCTGAATCCAGTAGTGCAGAAAAGATTGGCAGACAAGAGTTGGTATAGCCCTGTTCATCGGTTCAGCAAACCCGGTGACCAACCCGTACCCAAACCATGGATGACCGGTCAAGCTTCTTATGCACGTGCTGGGTTCGCTCCCCATCAAAACCCGTTGAGCCCAAGTAACCCGTGGAACCCGTCCTCTTCCTCTCTCCCTCCATGCTCCTCTCAAGTCTCTACCGGGGACAGCACCGGTGCACGACGGAGAAGCATGAGGGTCATGGCAGCGGCGGCGGATCTAGTGGAGAAGAAGTTGGCGCCGACGATGAGAGCAACCATGAGGTCGCGTCGCGTCGTGAGGAGGCGAGGAACGAGGTCACATCGCCAGTGGTCGGTCCTGCAGGTGGTCTCCATGTCGCGGCCAGTGGTGTATCGATGGTTTCCGAGTGGTCGTCCTGGAGGTCGATCAAGCCTTCCTTGGAGTCCCAGCGACGGAGGCGACAAACAGGTGCTTCATGATCTGTCTGGCAACGGGCGCTGTCGCCACATCGTCCACCTCCCCGTCGGCTCGCCCCACCTTATCCAGCTCGGCGCCGATGCTCGACCCCACATCACTTGCCTAGTCATCCGCCTCGGCAATGATGTCCCTGCAGCCGATACAACGGCATGACAAAACCCGTGCGAAACCCGTTGACAACCCAACCCAGTGAATCCTTGGACCTGCCTTGAAACGGCCAGAAACCAACCCAAGCCATCCCAACCAAAAACTAGGAAACCTGGACCATGAACAGGCCTAAGTTTGGCTGTATTGTTTAAGGAGAAACAAAAGGCGAGAAATCAGCCAACAAAATGTAGCGGGTCGCAGATATGAGATGAACACCTGGATGGAATCTGCACTATTTGTAGGCTCATTTCCTTTGTTTTTCTTTGTTTTTTCCTTACAAAATTTTGTTGGAAATTTCGATGATGGTAGAGGGGTCGCGTGTATTCGCGCTCACTGCTGCGGTCAATGAGCACTTGTTTGATAAGCTTTCAAATAGATCTAGTTCTATCACTACGTAAAAAACGGTTTTTAGCAACGGCATAAATTTTTTTTAGGGGCAGCTGGTGATGGAGCCGCCCCTACAGTGACGTGCTCGGAATCCACGAGACTAGCCGCCCCTACAAATAAAATAGCAGGGGCGGCTGGTGATACGAGCCGCCCCTACAAATATATAGGATTTGTAGGGGCGGCTCAATCACCAGCCGCCCTCAGTGTTTTTATTTGTAGGGGCGGCTGGTGATCGAACCACCCCTAGAAATGCCCAACGTACGGTATAAACCGTCTGAAATATCTACGGCCTCCTCTCTCTCTCAGTCTCGACTCCCTCTCTCTCTCTCTCTCCCTCGCTCTCCCTCTCCTCCGACTCTCCGAGCCCCTCCGTGTCTCCCCCACGCCGCCCCTACCTCTCCCCCACGCGGTGACGGGACCTCCCTCTCCAGCGGAGGCGCACGGCGTCGCACCCCCCTCTTCTCCGCGCGGCGGCACTCGGCGGCGCACCTAGGGTGGCGGGGGTTCTGCCGGGTGGGACGAGGAGTCCGTCCTCGCCGCGATGGTCGTCGAGGACACCCCCATCCGCGAGTCCCGTCGCAAGAGGCAGGCCTCCACCTCCTCCGCCGGCGGCAGCGCCGGATCCAGCACCAGGTACGGTGGCCACCCACCTAATTCTTTTCCTGCTCGGGTTCTCGCCGGTACGGTGGAGCAATAGCCCTGCTTTTACACCAGTCTGCTGTTTTTCTTCGTTTCTCCCGTTCAGCTCGCCTATACGTTCGATTCGGCCGTTTTCTGCATCAATGGGGCCAAGCGACCACCGGCGCCGCCGCCCTACTCCCAGCTGCCCAGGTCCCTTCGCCGACGACGAGCGCCCACCACAGCAGGTACTCTTCCCCCTCTCTCCCTTCCTTCTCGCAAAACCCGAGCACCCGCCCCGAACCCTATCCGGATCTGATCTAATCACAAGTCTAAGTGTATGCATGTGGCTTCGCAAGGCCGGCTTCGGTCACCCGTCGTCGATCCACGCAACCATGGTAAGCGAGCCTCATCTCAAATCTGGTTAAGTACGTGGATCTAGGTGCAATATCTATAGCGGTGGGGGTTCGAGAGCGTAGATTTGCGTGGAAATTTTTTTGATTGGAGCTTGTGCTCTGTGGGCTGCTGCATCGCAATCGTGATTCGTCTTTCGCTGAATTAGTTGACTGTAATTCGTACTCCTGAGTTGAAGACTGAAGTGATGTGCTGGGGTAATTCTGTTGTGAATCTAATCGCGATATCAGTCTTCTAGGTGAAGATGTTTAGCTGTCAAATGCAATATTTGAGATGTGCTTTTAAAACTGTGGAAGTATTGATACAGCTAGAAAGTAGAAACTACTACTTACAAACTTAAGAGTCGGAGATGCTGATTACCTACTGCTTACGAGCTAAGAGATAGATATGCTGATTACCTGGGGATATGCTTGGGTTGGAAGTATTTACGAAGCTGGAAAGTCATGTTTTGCAAGGTTTATTGTTTCCCAATATCAATATACATCGTGATGCTAATCAAGTTTTAATCCTTGAAATGATTGACTTGATTAGTATACTGAGATTGATTTGCTGTTGAATGGCTTCTATCCGTTTTTTCGCTCAACACAATTTCGTAGTATAAATCCACAGACAGGCTATTTATTCATACTGCATTGTGCTCAATTAGTATGGCCTTTTGGTCCTCTTAGGCTCTTAAAATTAGAACATGAGGTGAACTCAGGTTCACTCGTTGTGCATGGTGAAATTGTTTCTGGAGGCTGTCAACATGACAATAAGTTCAATCTAATCTGATAGTAATATATGTTTGCAGTCGAGGAGGAAGACCAGGGAGCCCAAGGAGGAGAACGTTACCCTTGGACCCACTGTCTGTGAAGGAGAGTCTGTCTTTGGTGTTGCTCACATCTTTGCATCCTTCAATGACACCTTCATTGTAAGTGCTGGATGTTTTTTTTTCTGTGGATGGACCTTTTTATTCCCTTCCCCAGTTAAAATGTGATGTTGTAATATTGGGGATTGATTTGGGAGTTGCGCATTGTGCAGATTTGCCTGGAGATCTGCTTTGAGCCGACCACCACGCCTTGTGGGCACAGGTAATTTCTAACTGTGCTTTTGGAAAAAAAAAGTGGTTGCTTGAATTCTGTATGCAAAGAGAAGAAATAAAAACTTTCCCTGGTTCATTTTGTTTGTGCCGTGTGCAACCGTAGGATGTCAGTTGCTTCCTGTGAGTTGCACAATTCATTTTGTATGCT